AATTTATTTATATATTTAAAATAAATAAATAAAATAAAATATTTACCTGTTCATTAAGACCATGATTTTACCCTGTAGTCCATCTAATTTCTGTGTTACTTTCTCAACATCTTGAAAATACTTTTCAGCTGTTTTTATGTCTCCAATCTGCTTTGACAAAATGTAGTCAGTTTAGCTGACAAAAGAAATATTAAGTCGATACTCGTACATTTAGTTCCCTAATATCATGTTACAATATGAAGACATTTACATGTCAGGCAGAGGAAAACTTCAGTAAACATTTAGTAATCACTTTTTATAAAAAGGCAAAAGACATTTAAGATACAGTGGAATGTTAATGTTCTATATGTCGGAAACTACGTTGCTAATATACATGCCTTATTTAAAAGTCTTGTTAGTTTAGTAATTTGTGCCTTTTGGAATATGCTGGCAGAGCATTACGTAAAATAACATAAATAACTAGTAAGATGAAACATAAAATACTTAAAATACTGGTATAATATGAGCAGGTCCCAAGCCAACTTATGAGCTACTTGTGGCTAGTAAAATGGTAGGTGCCACCACATTTGCAAATTTCAAAGTAATATTTTGACCAATAATATAGAATTCTGCTGTAAAAAACAAGCCAAACCAAACCCAAACTCAAACCTACTCTTGTCACACATGTCAGGAAACCCGCCGCCCGCCCGAATCAAATGCAGCCGGACGCAGCAGGCTGGCAGTCGAGGAGGCCCGGGGGGTGGAAGGCTGAGCCCCAGCCCTGACTCCTGAGGCCACAGCCTGGTTTTACAAAGGCAGACGCAGGTTTTCTTTCACCTCCAGAAGCATAAGGAAGGGAATAAATGATCTGAGGCTTACAATAAGAAATAGATAAAAATTAAAGAAAAGTCCTATTATGGCCCAAGCCATGCTCACGAAGGAAAACACAGAGTTGCCTTGTGTCCGGGGCGCAGCCTGTAGGAGTCAGGCTCTGCGACAGCGAGCTCTGCTCATGGCAGCAGCAGAAACTTCACAGAATGCTGTCCTGTCCCGAGGAGAAACAAGCTGAATGTGCGCGGCTCACCTCCATGAGGAGGGCTGGAGGACCCAGCGCCATCATCGCTGAGCAGCCTAGTTAACTCTCAGACTTCCCACGCCAGCATCTGTCCAGCACGAAACAAGCCTGCTAACTTCTCAGATGACTGGTGGGGAGGTGGTTCTCCATGGCTGTCATGTATCTGCATGTCTTCCAAGCACAGACACCGACAGGGCTTTGTTCAAAGCATTTACACAAGGACGCTGTTTACAGGACAGCCTTGTAAGCTAAACCGCGTCCCTCTGCGGCGAAGGGCAGGCAGGCTCACCTCCCAGGAGCAAGGATTTGGGTGTTCTACGTTCAGGATTCCTCTGCAGCCACACAGCCCACTGCAGGCATCACGAGGCCCTGGGTGAAGACCCCGAGGAATCAGGGCCCCGTGTCTGGCGGAAAGAATGCCATTCTGGCTGTGCTGCTGTTGCTGTGTAATAAATGTCCTTCATCTCTAACCTAAGAATCTTACACTTTTTCGCCAGCATCCATGAAAATGGCAGCCAACTCTACAGCCTGCACATAGGATAACATCTCAGGCCCTTCACAACTGTTGCTGTTACCCCACAAAAGAAATACCACACGAGGAGGAAGAAAAACAATGAAACACAAAACAGGCGTGCACACACACCACACATGGAACAGCGTTTGTCCATCGCTGCCCTTCGTCTGCACAGTCCGAAGGGGTTTGAAGTCCACTACTATGGACTTCCCACTTGCTGACTAAAAAGAAACCAAAGGCAGCATGGGCTCCATGATATGGCCCTCAGCTCGAATGCCTGCGTCTCCTGCATTAACTAACGTCCTGTTTAACAGGACCGCTGTGATACTGATCTGAAGATGCGCGGTGGCTCAAGCCTGTAATCCCAGCACTTTGGGAGGCCGAGACGGGCGGATCATGAGGTCAGGAGATCGAGACCGTCCTGGCTAACACGGTGAAACCCCGTCTCTACTAAAAAATACAAAAAAGTAGCTGGGCGAGGTGGCGGGCGCCTGTAGTCCCAGCTGCTCGGGAGG